TGTGTGTGTGTGTGTGTGTGTGTATGGACTCAGCAGTCTGTGTGTCTGTGGATGGACTCAGCAGTCTGTGTGTGTGTGGATAGACTCAGTAGTGTGTGTGTGTGGATGGACTCAGCAGTGTGTGTGTGTGTGTATGGACTCAGCAGTCTGTGTGTGGATGGACTCAGCAGTCTGTGTGCCTGTGTGTGTCTGTGTGCCTGTGTGTTTGTGGATGGACTCAGCAGTATGTGTGTCTGCGTATGAACTCAGCAGTCTGTGTGTTTCTGTGTGCGTGGATGGACTCAGCAGTCTGTGTGTGTGTATGGACTCAGCAGTCTGTGTGTCTGTGTGTGTGTGGATGGACTCAGCAGTCTGTGTGTGAGTGTGTGTGGACTCATCAGTCTGTGTGTGTGTGTGGACTCAGCAGCCTGCGTGTTTGTGTGTGTGTGTATGGACTCAGCAGTCTGTGTGTGTGTGTGTGTATGGACTCAGCAGTCTGTGTGTGTGTGTGTATGGACTCAGCAGTCTGTGTGTGCGTATGGACTCAGCAGTCTGTGTGTGCGTATGGACTCAGCAGTCTGTGTGTGCGTATTGACTCAGCAGTCTGTGTGTGTGTGGATTCAGCAGTCTGTGTGTGTGTATGGATTTGTAGGTCTGTGTGTGTATGGACTCAGCAGTCTCTCTGTGTCTGTGTGTGTGGATGGACTCAGCAGTCTATTGTGTCTGTGTATGGACTCAGCAGTCTGTGTGTCTCTGTGTGTGTGTGTGTATGGACTCCAACGGTCTGTGTGTCTGTGTATGGATTCAGCAGTCTACTGTGTGTCTGTGTGTGTGTGGATGGACTCAGCGGTCTGTGTGTCTCTGTGTGTGTATGGACTCAGCTTGGTCTCTGTGTGTGTGAGACTCGGCGGTCTGTGTGTGTGGATGGACTCAACGGTCTGTGTGTGTGTGTGGATGGACTGGGCAGTCTGTGTGTGTATGTATGGACTCAACGGTCTGTGTGTGTGGGAAGGACTCAGTGGTCTGTGTGTGTGTGTGTGTGTGTGGATAAGCAGTCTGTGTGTGTGTGTGTGTGTATGGACTCAGCAGTCTGTGTGTGTGTGTATGGACTCAGCAGTCTGCGTGTGGATGGAGTCAGCAGTCTGTATGTGTGTATGGACTCAGCGGTCTGTGTGTGTGTATGGACTCAGCAGTCTGTGTGTCTGTGTGTGTGTGGATGGACTCAGCAGTCTGTGTGTGTGGATGGACTCAGCACTTTGTGTGGACTCAGCAGTCTGTGTGTGTGTGTGTGTGTATGGACTCAGCAGTCTGTGTGTATGGACTCAGCAGTCTGTGTGTGGATGGACTCAGCAGTGTGTGTGTATGGGCTCAGCAGTCTGTGTGTGTGTGGACTCAGCAGTC